CCTGCAACAGACGAATGGTTTCAGACAAACCAGCACTTAAAATGCGAGTCGTGTAGAAGCCGGGACTGTCCTTTACCGTGATCACCAGCTTATTCTGTCGAAGACCGACATCAACCGCAGCTGCTAAACAAGTACTTGTTAAACCACACGTAAGACGGTGCCATCTTATAAAAATATGGCGACTTATCTGAAAAACGAATGAGGAACACGAGCGAAACGAAACATGGAAGCAAGAATGTACCAGAGTAAATTTTTCCATCATAATCTCTTCAGTGACATGTTGCAGCAGTTGTCTAAAAGGTCTGCTTCGAACTCCGGAGGTGCCGTGTTCGCCTGTGCTCGATGGCAAGCTTTGTCTTATTCACGAATTTCTTTGAGGAAGGAATTTATCACACTCGCTTCAAACTGTAGTTACTCAGCCACTAGAACGTCGAATTCAGAACCGATAGGTCCCGAATTCGAGACCAGATCATAGTCACTCGCCCTTTCAGGATGAAATGTGAGCACCACTCTGTGGGAAGGAAACAAGAGACTACGCGCCAAGGTTGCCACACGGCTATAGATTCTGGCCTAAAAATGAAGGCATTCCTGGCTGATGGCATAGAAACGGATATCTGCGTCGCAGCATCAACGTCGTGAAAATAAGGGTGCCATAAGGGTCCAATCATGAAACTGAAGAAGTACCGACATTCCAACGGAGACAAACTTTCGTTTCCTTTGCCTTCTCCTTCATAAGTCACAGAAATCACATCAAACTGTGACAAAGACCTGGGTTGTTTCGTCGAAAAGCGAGCTAGTTCTAAATACATTGGAAACCATGTTCTAATCGATACATAACTTGTTTCATTCAACAAGACTAAAGATTTTCACGAATCTGCTTCAGTTTATTGCAAAATGAAAATCTCTCGATGAAACTTTCTCTACCTATCATCAACTGGTGCATTTCAGTTATAAACTCTAAGTTTCATTTTGCTACTGGGAATTTTTGCTTTCCTCACCGTCTACACAAGCACGTTAACAGTCCATCGTTGGTCATATCTTCAACGGGTATTTCCCGTGCATAACAATTTCGGCTTTCTGCCGTAGAAATCAAGCTAAAGACACTAACCTGCTGCAAAACAGACTAGTTACCTGTTGTAAACGCTTTTGTGATTTCCAACAGGCAGTGTTTTGTAATTCGTTGTGCAGCAAGTAACTTCTGCATCATACTTGAATTCCAAATTTAAGTATCACATCCACAACTGACAACCAGCAGGATACACTAGACGAAAATGACGACTCCAGAACATTACCACACCAGAAAATCAAGCTGTCTTAATCATTTACAAGTCAACGACTTGCCCACGTCTTTCGGCCTGTAGCAAAGAGGTGCATTGGCATAGTGGGTCGAATTTTTTGCTCAAGGAAGTTAGTAGTTATCAGTAAATTTTACGCCGCACCGCGACCCTAATCCGGCACCTCCAAGGTGCAAAACAAACCAAACCAACAATACAATGTTCCTCCCCTAAAAACGAAATATCTGAATAATCAGTATATGAAAGGAACGTCCGTTTAGGCAAGACTTAGACAACAATGGAAAACTAGGGAGATGCAGAACATCAGCAAAGAAGAATTGGCGAATGACGACTGTCGGCGACGCGAGGAGCAGTATAGATTTCTATCCAATAATGGATTACTGAATCTTGAACCCTCGATTACGTCGTAGATGATACACTTCACCGAGGATTTATGAAATGTCTGTTTTCTACATCGGAACTGCCTGAAATGATTCCTCGCAGAGGTCACTTAAGAACAACTAATTTATCTGTGGTAGATCTCCAAGATAAAGGAGGGATTTTAACCAGTTTAGTAGTTCAATTTATGGTATTCTTACAAGAATATTAAGATTTATTCCACTTTAGTGGGAGAGAACCTTGAACAACAGTATGATGCTACAGTTTTCTACATGCGTGAGGCTTTTGAAGAAAACACGGACCATGTATAACACGAGCGTTAGGCAAACTCGCGCAGAGTTGAAGCAGCCTTTCATTCTTATTCGTTTCTGTCAATAAAGTTAGGCGAATAATCAGATTACACCGAGATTTCGTTCACTTTGGTGACTAGATCTAGTTCGATAATAGGCATTTTCACCTGATCATTGCTATGCTTTATTTTATGCTAAATTTTGGGCCATTTCAGCATATTTTTCATTCATTTGACTTTCTTAGATGAAAGAAATACTCAGGTACGTAGAATTTCACTTTTTTCAGTTCTTTGGCCTTTTGGAGCACGCGCAAGTTTCCTGTGGTTCAGTTAGTTCGCTTGAACACATGCCACAATTCGTCTTAACTTGAACCTTTCCTAAGTTCACGCCGATTCTCTGAAGGCATGCCATTAAAATCTTTCAACTGCGTTAGTGTCTCGTAAGACTCCGCTGCGAAAGATTCTAATCCTACAATTTTATTATTATTGACCGATCCCTTAACAGAAGATCAACCTGGGCAAAACTGTGGCTTTCACAATTTTTTTGTCAGGCTACTTACTCAGCACTCTACAGGTTACTAGAATGTAACTGCGGCTGGTGCGCAGTTGATGTAGAGGTAATGCTTACGAATAACAATAGGCGGAAAGTAGAAACAGGCCTATGGAGAGATCAGAAAGTAGCACAACAAAAATCAAGGAAGGAATGAGACAAACGAAAGGAAACAGCTAAAAGCCAAAACGAAGTAGTCTGAAAAGAATGAAAAGTAGATGGACAACTGCAAAAGTGGCAAAGCAATCGTCTAATGGTTGCATACCGGTCACTTCCCGAGACGTTTTTCTTGTATTGATAATTTCGAGCAGTTGCATTCTCGGAACCGGTGAGAAGTAGTGCATACCAATTACCTACGTGAAGTTACGACATTACAAAAATGATTGTGAGTATAAAAAGTACGGCTTCGGGACGGCTGCTGGCTTCAGCGATTTTCGTAATAGGCAGCGCCGACGTGTTCGTTGCAATGATGCAGTGGCTTGGGACAACCTGTAGCAAAGAACGCGGTCAAATCGAAAGACAAAACTACAATAATGCAAGGAAAATAATGTACTACCGCTTCAACTTCCTTAATCACTTTCTGCTTCAAGTCCATGTCTTCGAAAACAGCTTCGATGATCATATCAGCGTTGCTCAGGTCACGATAGTCAGTGCAAGCAACGAGACTGGAAATGGCCACATTCTTTTCATGACTAAACATGACCTGTTGAAACAATGCTTCCGAACATATAACGGCTACTTGGTCATTTTGTGATTTCGAACAGACTTTTCCAGCGCTTTCGAGATGGACTGCTCTGCGCGGTCGAGAGTTGTTTGGCTGACATCTTTCAAGTAAGTCATAAAACCGTTTTTCACAGACACTTCAGCTATGCCAGCGCCCATCAACCCCGCCCCGATGACAGCAAGATTTCTGAAACAGCACTACCTGATACAAAACTCTCCGTAACATCAGTTACTGCGATATATTTAATGATTTGATATTGCGGTTGGTACAAATTAACCAGTTAGTCAGATCTGAGCTCTATTTCCAGGAGCTCAATTGTAATTTCTCGCGTAGGTTACGAAAGTAAGACAAACACGCTGTCTGTTACCAGCAGTGACGAATTTGTTCTTACGCAGGAGTATACCGAAAGAACTGCATTAATGAACCCACAGTCAGTTCAACATCCTGCCAGCACGGACAGAGTTATAACGGCGATTAATTCTACAGCTTCTAGCAGTCTTTGAAAAAACCGGAGATACGGAAGCATCTGCTAGTAGACAATATCCTCGCCTGTTATGAGCAATCTTCAAATATACGCTTTGTTGTCCTTAGGCTATTATGCAGCAGTGTTCTGAAAGATGTGGTTGAGCTGAGAGCAGCACTAGTTGCACAAGTTAATAAACTTTACTTTATAAAGCATATGTTCTCTAAGATCAAATCTGACGGGATATTGCACCGTCCTCTTATTCGTAGTTGCCTAGTGGACCATGTGATGGCTTTGAACAGTAGCATTACTGACGCGCCTCGCCCAATCTTTAAATTTAGAATAGAGCAAAAGCGTGCAAAAGCAACGAAGTTTTAACAGCTGGTACTGGTTAAATACTTTAGCGTAATATCATTAACACGGGGTTTGTGCTAATAAACTTACTCCGGTGAACAAATCGTGTTTTAAGGCACATTAACACAAATAGAGAACGACTGCTCAGGAAATATAGTTAGGGCCTAGCAAAGTATTGCTCAAGTCGACATGATATACATATAACACTGCAGCAACTTAAAAACCTTGCAACCGCGTTTCTGCACTTTATAACCCCAACAGAAGCAACCACAAGCAAGGGAACGGCACAGTACAACGTTAAATCCGGCCACTCGACACAGGAAGATTTAATGTTTACATTCCTTTGCAACTCCGCCATTGCCGGTCCCAAGCCCGGATGAGAAAGGAGGAGGGTTGGAGACCGTGGCAAGTCTCCG